TGTAATTAGATATTCCTTTGTCTACAATACACATCATGATAGCAAGTTGATGTTGTTATTCTGCCTGAAGCAATTCTTGTATTAATGAGCCTTCCTGTCCGATTATACCCCCAAATAACAAAGAGGCATACCAGCGGAAGAAGGAAAAGTACACAGAGCTGATTACAACAAGTAGAGAGAGAGGTTGGAAAGCGTGGCTGTTCCCAGTAGAAGTAGGCTGCAGAGGTTTTCCTGCACAGTCAGTATGGAGGATGCGACAGCAGAAAATCAGAATACCACCATCTGTAAGTAATAATCATTTCTTCTGGGAAACCAGTGATCGTCAGGAAAGGCTGAATGGAGACTGGGGAAGACCAGTGACGCTGGAGAGACAGCTGACAGCCAGGAACAGACTGGTATGGGCACTCGGGGTCAGCTACCCTAAGTGTGGTTTCCCTGAGTGAACAACAAAGACAGCTACTACACAGAATGAAGAAGTATACCCCCAGAGTCTCAAAGAGGGGGTGATGAGAGGCTCAACCAAACAGATTAAACGGCAACGACTCGGAAACGAAAATGGACAATAACACAGATGGTGCAAACAATTTTGACAGGAGAGAAAGCAGAAGCTAAATGCCATTGTGGAAAGATCTGCAAGAACCAAAGAGGCGTAAAGATTCATCAGTCAAGGTCTGGATGCAGTCGAGAAATTGTTACAGAGCAGCGCACAGATTTATCTGGTGAGATGCAGGAGAATCCTAGCCAGGACACAAACCATAGCGCAAGAAATCTCTCAGCATCAGTATCATCCCACGACAGCAGTCAAAGCTTGAATGGTGAGGAGCACATTACACAGCAAAGACAAGATCGAGACATCACATCAGAAAAAAAGGATAGCATTGCCAAAGATGAACAGTGAAGCCCAATGGAGAGATCTGAACGATGATTTAGGAGTAATTCTAGAAACATCACTCCAAGGAAGTGTTGAAAGGAGGATAGAAATTCTGACTACGCTAGTTTATAACATCGGGAAGGAGCGATTTGGTGTTGAGGAGAGGAAAGAAAGGAGTAACATCAAGCAGACGCCAAACAGGAGAGAACAGAAAATTAAACACCTAAGGAAGGAGCTCAAAGACCTAAACAGGTGGTAACAGAAAAGCAATGAGATAGAGAAGTTGGGAATAGCCTGCATTACAGACAGTGTTAGAGAGGAGTTGAGAAGAACTAGAAGGGCAGAACAACTCAAGAATAGTAATAAGAAGAAAGCGAAAAATAGAGCGAACTTTATCAAGAATCCATAAAACTACACAAAAACACTGTTGGGTGGAGAAAGAACAGGGCATCTGCATTGTAGTAAGGAAGAAGTAGAAAAGTATCTGCATGAAACACACTGGGACAAAGAAAGAGAGACACCTTTAGGATATTGCCCAAGAGTTGAAAAAGAAGAACAACAAACAATAGAATTTGAAACGAAGGAACCAACATGGAAGGAAGTTTGTGAGGTGGTAAAAAAGGCAAGAACAGGATCAGCACCTGGGTACAGTGGTGTACCATACAAAGTCTATAATAAATGCCCAAAGATACTTAGAAAACTATGGCAGCTATTCCGAACACTATGGAAAAAAGGAACCATTCCTGAAAGCTGGCAGAAGGCAGAAGGGTGTTTTGTACCAAAGGAAAAAGATTCTAAAGACATTTTGCAGATTAGGACAATTTCATTGTTGAGTGTAGAGGGGAAAATCTACTTCTCTGTATTGGTGAACAGGATGACGAAGTATATGGTAGAGAATAGCTACATCGATACATCTATGCAGAAAGGAGGCATTGCAGGTTTTTCAGGATGTGTAGAACATACTAGTGTTCTTAGCCAACTTATACTATATATTATATTATGAGGCGAAGACAGGAAAGAAGAATTTGGCAGTAGTATGGTTAGACCTGGCAAACGCATATGGATCAGTACCACGCAAATTGATAGGGATGGCAATGGATCACTACTACATTCCAGATCACATCAAGAAGATAATCCAAAAGTATTTTGGTGGAATACAGCTGCCATTTACTGTAGATAACAAGACAACAGCATGGCAGAAGTTAGAGAAAGGAATAGTCACGGGTTGTACCATCTCACCGATACTATTCATTATGAGTATGAATATCATCATGAAGGCAGCAGAAAGAGAAACAAGAGGTCCAAAGACAGATTCAGGGATTTTTCTTCCAGCAACAAGAGGGTTCATGGATGACCTTACAGTAACAACATCGTCCCATATTCCAGCAAGATGGATACTGTTAGCACTGGAAGAGGTAGTCACTTGGGCCAGGATGAAATTTAAGCCAAGGAAGTCAAGATCAATGATTCTAAGAAATGGTCAGATAACAACGAAGTTCCAGCTTAAGATCCAAGGGGACGAAATACCAACAATAGTAGATAACCCTATAAAGTGCCTTGGAAAATGGTTTGATGATACCCTTAAGGACAATACCAATGTGAAGACAGTACAAACACAGGTTGCAGAATGGCTGAAGAAGGTAGATAAGAGTGGATTGCCTGGGAAGTTTAAGGCTTGATATACCGATATGGGTTGCTACCAAGACTGACATGGCTACTCATGATCTATGAAATGACAGCAACAATAGTAAAAGCCATAGAAAGAAAGATAAACAGTCACCTCAGAAGATGACTAGGAGTACCACCAAGTTTTACAGCCATAGGTCTTTACAGTAGATCATCACATCTCCAGCTACCTTTAACATCAACTTTGCAGGAATACAAGGTATCAAAGAGCAGACTTGTTATGACTCTCAGGGACTCAAAGGATAGCAAGATAAGTAAGGCTGGAATCCAGACACGTACTGGACGGAAATGGTCAGCAAGAACTGCAGTAGATCAAGCAGGAAGTATTCTTCATCACAAAGACATAGTGGGCAACACCAGTACTGGTAGACAAGGCTTAGGAATGACACATTTCCAACAGTGGTCAAAGGCAACACCAAAAGAGAAGAGCAGCATGGTGCAGTCAGAAATAAGACAAGTAGAAGAAGAACAAAGAAGAGCAAAAGCAGTAGAGCTTAGCCGTCAAGGAGCATGGATGAAATGGAACTTGCCAGAAAGAAAGATCACATGGGCAGAGTTATGGAGGATGGAACCATTCAGAATTTCATTCATGCTAAGGTCAGTCTACGATACTCTTCCTTCCCCTTCAAACTTACACCAGTGGGGACTTGCTGGTTATGGCATCGCCGAGATGATCTGAGCTGGAAGCCGAGTGCTGATGAGTAGAGGTTTGGCCACCTCTACTGGCCGCCAACTGGAGGATGTAATGGTACAGGGTCGAAACATCTGGTGAAGGTTGGAACCATCTGAAGACATCAAAGCACCGGCAGAGAGCGACAGAGATTCAGAGATGAGGGAAGATGAGCAGTCAAGAGAATATGACAGCAGAAAAGCAGAATACCACCATCTGTAAGTAATAATCAATTATTTCATTTTTACAAAATCTTAAGAGATTTTATGGAATAAAAGAACTTATGAGAATTTGGTATAATAATAGGGAAAGCTGTGCTATCATAAGAGACCCTCCAAAATATTAAAGTCCTTCAACTGTGGAATACTAACTGATCTAAAATTCATCAAAATTAAAAGGGAAATTATCTCTATAGAAATAATTATTGTGTTATAAATTTCTGACAATAAAGAAAACTAGAGCTATCATAAGGCATGCTCCAAAAGAGGGACAAAAGATACCAGAGGGACAGTCAAACTCATAGATCGAAAACAAACTGACAACGCCATAGCCAAAAATAAAAAAAAAACAAACAGACAAATAATAGTACAGATGACACAACATAGAAAACTAAAGACTAAGCAACACGAACCCCACCAAAAACTGGGGGTGATCTCAGGTGCTCCGGAAGGGTAAGCAGATCCTGCTCCACATGTGGCACCCGTCGTGTTGCTTATGTTATTACAAATCCGGTAAATAGTCTAATTCGGTAGGTCACATTCGTGAAAAGGGAAGGGTATTGTAGTTACGACATACGGAACATATCCGATATCCAAGTTGTTTGTTGTTTTTTTGTTTGTTTGAATTGTTACACATGTACATTTTGTCATGTCAGGTCCTTAATCAGATAATAATCCTTACTCCTTGAGGGGTGTCACTCAAGGTAATCTGATAGTTCCTAAGCCAAAAGCTGAGCTATTTAAGAAATCTTTTGTTTATTCTGGATCAGTGTTATGGAATGGACTACCACACAAAATGCGTAAAGCTCACAACACTTATACTTTTAAACAAAGTATCAAGAAGTACTTAACACAGTCCTGATAAGATTATGTTTTCTACAATGTATTTGTATATTATTTTTTTTTTTTATTTTTATTTGATTTTTTGACTACATGTACATCTTGAACAGCTTTATATCTTATCATGTTAATAATATTACATTGAACTACTTGACTGTAAATTAACTATGTGTAAATATCTGTTTTTGATTGTATTGTAATTTGTATGTGAGGGCCTCAGGAAAGATTAGTTTATTGTAACTAACTGAGTTTACCCTCTTTAAATAAAGAATTTATTATTATTATTATTATTATTTTACAGCTGACTATACAGTATGGGTTTTGCATCTTTTTTGAAGCCATACTTTACTTCAATTGGACTCTGTTGAATAGTTGTCGCTTTGGCAATCATACCACATCTCCTTATTTTATAGAGAGAATGACAGAAAACAGTTCACAATACATTGTATAATGTTTGTCCATGATGAGCCTTAAAGAATATATAATGGAAACTGAGGTTTACTAAATACTTTTTCCATGAAAACAAATACATGTATTACAGTTGAAAAAACAATGCAATGTTTTTCTTATTCTTATGTAAAAAGAATGTAACAGGGTAGATTTATGTCACTATGTGTTTTCTTTAGGAATGACAAGAAAGGAAAAAGGTAGACAATAGCTTGTTTTGATTTTAAATGCCAAACTACTGCCTTACAGTTTAATGCCCACATAATACCTGATGATTTAGCCCCTATCATGTTGGCTACATTGCATCTTGCTTCATCTATCACTTTCTTGGCTTTTACACCTGAAATTAATAAAAAATGAAATAGCTATGACATTCTTAAAATGTACTTTAAACCCAACCATACCTGTATGAAAACAGCCTATTTAAGCTCAATAGTTAGTGTTGTAAACATTCAATAACGCGGTTTTACCTTTGTGTTAACGTAACGTCGTTCCCGGCAAAATTGGCAGTTGCCGATTTAGCGTTACGAAATTCCGCCAACAAATGTGGCATTCGAATAACATCTTTGTTTTCTAACTTGTTATTAATCCTACATTTCTTTAGTTACTTGTATTTATATGCTTTATATTGATAAATCGGTGTCGAGACGTATGAAATCGTAATTGCTTTCTTTATAATCCAATATTTACTTATGTATTGACAGTGATTTATATGATTAACCTTGACCAGTAGCGACCTATTTTCTTACGCGCAAGGATAAGGCGTGATAAGTATTATAAAAAGGGGATTTTCCGAATAGCAAAACGAATTTGAACTCATCTTTACAGAAACTTAATAGGTAAATACTTCACGCACGAAAATCACAGAAAACCGTTAAACATATTGTACTTTCATTCTTTGTAGTAATTTATAGTAATAATAATAATTTCTATTTCTTAAAATAGTAGTTTAGTTGTTATTTTATTTAGAAAACCTGGCTAATGTATTTCGAAAAGCTATTGAATAGAATAAATATCTACAGACTAAAGGTATTGTAAGAAAGATTGAGAACAATCTTTACACTGGTGGCAGCGAATTTAGTTTTCTTTTTAAAGAAAATTTTAAGAATCTACGTGAATAATTTATTAGGCACGCAATTGATAAGTAAAAATATTTTAAATTGTTACTGTCCATATTTGTTTACACTTAAAAAAAAAAAAACTGAACATAATAAAAAAGGACACTTCAACAAAAGGTGAAAGAAAAGAAAAGTACAGTTGGTGAGATTAATTAAGCTTATAGTATATCTTTCAGTAGTTTTAAAATTCAACAAGGATAAATATAAATCCAAGTTGAAAAGAAATAATATAGTTAATCAAAATCTATGTCAACAAGGATAAATTCTAATCCAAGTTGAAAAGGTTATAATTATTAAATTTGAGTATATATCAACAAGGATAAATATGAATCTATAAGTTGAAATAAAATAGTTAAGGGGTATACATCAACAAAGATAAATTCTAATCTAAGTTGAATATTAAAAGATAAAAAATTTTAAGTCAAATTTCAACAAGGATAAAATAAAATCCAAGTTGAGCTAGATTAATATTGAATACCATATTCAATAAGGATAAACTTTAATCCAAGTTGAGTTTTAAAGTTAGGAGTCTATTTTTAACAGGAATAAATCTGAATCCAAGTTGAATAATAATATTAAAACCATAATTTTTTCAATAGGGTCCAGTTGTAAAATTTATAGTCTATTTCAAAGTTGTAAATTAAATAGTCCATTTCATAAGCTTATTTTTTACAACAAGGATAAATATAAATCCAAGTTGTAGTTATAATAATTTTTCGATAGAGTCGAAGTTTAAAAAAAAAAAAAAAAAAAAATTATAGTCTATTTCGAAGTTGTAAATTAAATAGTACATTTCACAAAATAAGTTTTACAACAAGGATAAATATAAATCTAAGTTGTAGTTATATTTCATTAAGGTCAAAGTTGAACGTCTATAGTCTATTTCAAGTTTGTAATGTATATAGTCTATTTCACAAAGTAAGGATAGATTCATAATCCAAATTGTGTTTTAAAAGTAAGGCATAGGAAATTCTTTATCAATTTCAACAAGGATAAAATTTAATCCAAGTTGATTAGTAAATTGAAACTCTTGATTCCATTTAGCAGTCAAAAGTAGGATGTATAATTTGAGAAATAGACAACCTAGTATGTCTACGGGATCAATGTCTTTAGGAAGGGGAAGAGGAAGGGGATCTGGAATAAACCCACCAAGTAGTTTAGCCATTCCCAACCATGCCATATCATCTGGGAATATGGAGGCCCATTTTTCAGGGGAATCTAGAAACTCTCATGATTATTTTAATGCAAGGTTTAATATCCATGAATTCAGTAATGGGGAGACAATAAATAAGTATCCGAATATATTGCCTACTTCAATTAATGAGGGAGAAAGGGAGATAACTCATTTGACTGATGAAAATCCTTGTACCATGGATCATACTATCAACTTACCTGCTATAAGTAAAGAAATTGAGAATAACACTAATCCGTTCCTTGTTCCAACTCAAAGTCGAAGTGATAGCGCTTTAATTTCAAGATCAACCAATTCTGATAGTGATGAACTCACACAATTAAGAAGACAATTAGATGCTTTAAAGAATGAAAATTTTGAATTAAAGAGAACAGTCCAACAAAACAGCCTTCCGTTACCAAGTTCAAGTCAAACAAACCCTAATCAAAATCTGGTTAACACAATTACCCAGTCAACAGAGTATATAGAGCCAAATGTATATGCTGGTACCCATACCCATGTAAACCATGATATTGTTAGCAGCAATATTTCACAGAATCCAGTTCTTAACAAGAACTTGTATACTCAGAGTCAATTTGTGAGCAACACCTATCCTCATAATACAATGCAAAGAAGTAACTATTCGCAAAATACAGTACAGAATAGCCGATATATACAAAATAAAGCCCCGAACAGTAATTTTTCACAATATCCAGTTCAAAATAGAAATTTCCAACAGTATCAACCAATCACAGAGCCAAACTTGTTACCAATGCAGCATCCCAGTAGACCACAGTATATCAATACATCAGAAGTTCCAAGATTTAATGATAATGGACGCAGAACAAGAGTGCCATTCTATAACGGAAAGGATCCATGGAACGCATATATGATGCAATTTGAACTGATTGCGGAAATGAACAATTGGACTCCATCAACCAAAGCCATAGAACTGGTTACAGCCCTCAAAGATGAAGCAATGGTATATGCCTCATTTCTTACACCAGAGACAAAAAGATCATTTTCAGCACTTTGTGCAGCCATGTCAAATAGATTTGGAGATCATGGGTACCCGGAAACATACAGACAAGAGCTTCATACTCTGAGAAAGTATGATAGAGAAACAATTCAGGAGTATGCTTCAAGGGTCGAGATGTTGGTCAGGAAGTCTTTCCCCACAATTGACACAGCAACACACAGTACACTCAGTGTGGAGTATATGCTTAGAGGATTGCCGGACCAGAGTATTGCTATTGAGCTACTGACAAAAAGGATTACTAGCATAACAGAGGCAATACACCAAGTAACGCTATATGAGACTTACAAGAGAGGTTCAAGAGACAGAAACATCCGTCAGCTTGGTACAACAGAGGACAGTTATAGAAATAATTGTGGGTCCGAAGATATAGAGGTCAGAAAAGTAGGAGGAAACAGATTTGTAACAGAGGAAAGATTGACTCAGTTTGAAAGAGGAATTTCGGAGTCACTAGAGACAACCATTAAAAGAGAAATGGCAAAGTATTATACACAACAGGATTATGACAGTAGGCCATGGCAAAATAAGCAAGTGTATAGAGACCATACGACCAAGATGAAGAATTCCAGATGCTATAACTGTAATGAGGAAGGCCATTACATAAGAGATTGTCCAAAAGAAAAGAGAAGCCCCTATCATAATCATAAAGAAAACAGAGGTGGTTTTATAAGGAATAATGAAAGGAGTCAAAACCAAAATGAAGAGTCTTTAAACTGCTAAGGGTTGAGACTATCGACCAAGTGTCAGCCCCTAAACATGGTAAAGAAAAAGTTAAAGAGAATAATTTGAAATATGAAGAGAAACATTGCCAAATGAAAGAGCATTTGGTTGAACCGAAAAAATCAGTGAATACAGCTTATATAAAGAGATCATTTGAAGAAGATAGCCTAGATATACGGGACCTAGATTTAAGCCTAGAGATGTTGTTTGAGGAGTCTAAGGAGATACAACAGAACACACCAGAGAACACACCAAAGGAGGTAATGGGTAGTGCAGAACCGATCAACGGGATAGAAGGACATATTATCATTGCTCGGGTGACAGCAGCTAGCATTACAGTTCCAGTGGTCATTAACAAGATTGTGACGAATGCAGTTATTGACACTGGAGCAGAGGTGACGGTTCTAAGTGAGAAGTTGTATAATCAGATTCCTGGGAGTAAACGGCCAAAACTAAGGAGAGCAGCAAGAAATTTGGTAGTTGCTGAGGCCGGTAAGAACTTGACAACAAGAGAGATTACAGAGGTGGAAGTTAATCTGGGAAGTGAAACCTTCAAATGGCCAGTTTATGTAGCACCCATTGGAGATAACATGTTATTAGGTTGTGACCTAACTGATGAAATGAATATCACAATCAATCCTATGCAAGGCTTACAGTTTAATGGTCAGCGGATTGAATGTGAGACTAAGAGACAAACTGATAGAGAAGCCAGAGTCGGAGTAAAGGACACCAATTCTGGGCTTATCATTGACAAAGAAGCGGAAAGAAGTGAGTTCCTGTCAATCAGAGATTCAATGGTAGAGCCGGTAATGGCGGATGACAGAAAACCCATGGTAGCAAGTACGCAGGACATGCATGTACATATAGGAAATATTACCAGTACAAGTTATAAGGGTACACAGACGGACAAGGTCGATGTCCAGATGTTGCCTGAGCTCTTGCAAGAAGAAAATGTAAATGTTACAGAAGAAAATGTAAATATTAAAGGAGAAAATGTAAATGTTACAGAAGAAAACGTTAATGTTACAGAAGAAAATGTTAATATTACAGAAGAAAATGTAAATGTTACAGAAGAAAATGTAAATGTTAAAGGAGAAAATGTAAATGTTACAGAAGAAAACGTTAATGTTACAGAAGAAAATGTTAATGTTACAGAAGAAAATGTAAATGTTACAGAAGAAAATGTAAATGTTAAAGGAGAAAATGTAAATGTTACAGAAGAAAACGTTAATGTTACAGAAGAAAATGTTAATGTTACAGAAGAAAATGTAAATGTTACAGAAGAAAACGGTAATATTACAAAAGAAAATATAAATTTTACAGAAGAAACTGTAAATGTTACAGAAGAAAATGTAAATGTTACAGAAGAAATTGTGAATGTTCCAGTAACAGAAGAAAATCAAAATATTCCAGTTACGGAAGAAATTGTAAATGTTTCAGTTAAAAAAGAGGATGGAAACTTTTTCTGTCAGGTGGAAAAAATAAGTCAACTGAAAGAAAGTTTCCGTGAAACAGATTTAGACCAAACTAAGAAAGAACATGAGAATAAAAAACAGGTAACGCAAGACACACAAAAAGATTGGAGAAAAAGGAAGAAAAGAGCAGAAGAGGACACAGAAAGAGAAAAGAACAGAAGAGGACACATAAAAAAAAAAAAAACAGAAGAGAATACAGAAAGAAAGACAAAAAGAGACGAACCAATAATACAGTGAAGTTGTTGGACAAAGAAAACATTGAAAATTTTATAAACAGTTTATTTATTATATTGAAAGACACAAAACTACAAAATTGTTGACATTATTTATATGTATATTGTTTAATATATCATTGGTACACTTTTATTATTATACGTGTCAAGAATTGTGATATATTCGTGATCTAGTCAACATTGACAAAAACAAATTTTCTTAATTTTAATATTCTATTGAGATAGCAGGTGCTTGATTAGATTTTGTTTAATTGTATCTAATGATTTAATATTTCGCAATTATTTAAATTTCGAGACGAAATTCTATTTTGACGGAGGGCAGTGTTGTAAACATTCAATAACGCGGTTTTACCTTTGTGTTAACGTAACGTCGTTCCCGGCAAAATTGGCAGTTGCCGATTTAGCGTTACGAAATTCCGCCAACAAATGTGGCATTCGAATAACATCTTTGTTTTCTAACTTGTTATTAATCCTACATTTCTTTAGTTACTTGTATTTATATGCTTTATATTGATAAATCGGTGTCGAGACGTATGAAATCGTAATTGCTTTCTTTATAATCCAATATTTACTTATGTATTGACAGTGATTTATATGATTAACCTTGACCAGTAGCGACCTATTTTCTTACGCGCAAGGATAAGGCGTGATAAGTATTATAAAAAGGGGATTTTCCGAATAGCAAAACGAATTTGAACTCATCTTTACAGAAACTTAATAGGAAATACTTCACGCACGAAAATCACAGAAAACCGTTAAACATATTGTACTTTCATTCTTTGTAGTAATTTATAGTAATAATAATAATTTCTATTTCTTAAAATAGTAGTTTAGTTGTTATTTTATTTAGAAAACCTGGCTAATGTATTTCGAAAAGCTATTGAATAGAATAAATATCTACAGACTAAAGGTATTGTAAGAAAGATTGAGAACAATCTTTACAGTTATCTTGGTGTAATCATCCTCTTGATATGTACTGAGATTTCCAAATGCTTTAGTCAGAATACTCCTTCAATAATCATCATCATGAGAACTACTGAATTCCACTATGCTTCAGCCATTGTCAGTTAAATTTCTCTCAACAAAGGACAATATTGTAACGTTTATGGGTCGTGTAAATCCCCTGTTTCTATTTTTAGATATTATATAAAACTAGGTTTGTCAGTTTAGTTTTCGCAGGGATTGTTTTTCTCGTGCTTGAGACTCAATGTCCAGACTTGGATATTTAAACCTCGTCTGGACAATATTTCTTTAGATTGGGGAAAACTTTCGTACTGGTAAGTTGTACTTTAAAATTTCATTTTATTCATTTTCAATGTTTGACTTAAATATTTATTTCTTTACAATTGATTTATGTTTCGGTTTTGGATCAAACATTTCTAAATTCATAATTTACGTTTCCGTTTCAACTAGATAGATAGAATTGTACAATACCTATATATTTTATTAATATAGGGTTTATAAATGGGGTACATTCTGGTAGCGATATTGAAGAAAAATGGTTAATCCAAGGATATTTTAGAGTAATGGTCGTCAATCTTTGGAATTGTTCGAGCTTTACTCTGGAATTTTGTATTATCACATGTTTTTTTAAGGTCTTGAACTAGTCAATGCTACTGAATAATGTGTTTCAGACATTGCTCTGGTTGGACTGAGAATTAAATGGGAATAGATTGAATGTGATGTTGATTTTTTTACTGGACTGACTTTGGTCCCTGGTACATGGAATTATGAGGTTCATATTCTAATCTAACAAAGTCGGTGGGAACCAGTGGGTATTTTTTATTCTATCTCGGAAAGTGGGACGTCACAAACTTGATTGATTGAATTCAGTTTTTGTTATGAAAGAGTAGTGTACAGTTCTTGATATTTTATGCAATCGGTTACGTCTAAATTTCTAGTGTGTGAATTTATTTATTTTAATCAATTTTATAGCACTAAGGCCAAACACTTTCCTTGAACTTGGTTAATTTATAATGGGTATCTTTAATTGCAAATGCATCACCCCGTTTTATCCTATAAGGTGAGGTTAGAAAATGTATTGAAATTTTAGGATTAAAATTTCCTATGGAGATACCGCGATATTTGTGTACATTTGTATTATTGTCTTGTCTATTAAATATGAAACTGTCTTATGAATCTTGGTTATTTGTTATATGAGCGAATACCTTGTTTGGCGCAATTGTCACCTCATTTCATTTATAGCCAATATAGGTTTCTGGCACATGTCATTAGTTGAATTGATTGGTTCTTGGTATTGTCAGTATGCTGTCCGAAGATCTAGAGCGAAAGCACAGGCCGAACCCTCTCTACCAGTAACGTAAATGGTTGAGCTAGCAGGGTATAATTTCATGAGACAAAAAATATGAACGGAACATCAGTTTACATAGAAAAACCCGTTTACGTTGCAATATAAGTTAAACTAAATCTTACAAGCATCATGAGAACTACTTTGATTTTCAAATGCTGTGGTCAGAATACTCTCACAAGTAGGGTGATAAGGTGTTATAACTATAAATCTAAAAATCATTATGAGATCCACTGGGATTTCCTCATCCTTAAGGCAGACTATTCTCACCAGTAGGGTAAGAATTATATTTTACAAACATAACATAACTACCCTGTTTCTCCCATGCTTCAGTCATTGTCAGTCAATTTAATTTAATCTAAATCTTACCAGCATCATGAGAACTACTGGGATTCCCCCATGCTTTAGTCAGACTACTTGTAATAGCTCCAACAACTTCTAGTTCAAGTGGTGTTGTGGCATTGTAATCTAAATAAACCCTTTAAATAGAATGAAAAAAGAAGTAATTCATGGATTTCTATTCTTTGTTTTCCCCATTTGCCTGGGACAAGTGAAAAATACATTTAAACAACTAAAAGCAGCAATGCACTTGTCAGATTCAACCATCAAAATTTGCTAATGAATACTCATAGAAATACGGAATCTTTCATGAACACTTTGTCTATATTAAATCAATGATTAACACTGGAAAACTTTGAAAACACTAAGAAAATTTTTTTTTTTTTTAACATAGTTCTCATATATTTCCTCATGCTAATTATAGATCATTTTATAATACACCTATTAACACTTTGATTTGTTTGCTTACATCATGTACATATATTTTTTTAAGGGCTAAATAAAAGTAGAGGCTCTAAAGAGCCTGTGTCGCTCACCTTTATCTTCAACAATAGCCATTTTTTGGTAAAAATCATCATGAAAGGGCAATTACTCTATAAAGAGTTAACTGACAATTTCAGTCATGTTGACATATGTGTAGATCTTGTCCTGATGATAATTTTGCTCTTAAAAGTAAATAAAAATTTCTATCTACATTTGTATCTTTTACACTTTTCAAGATAATAGGCAAAAACTCCAAAAAATGTTAAAAACATCATTAAAGGGAAATAACTCAAATTAAAGAACGTTTGTGAGCATGCTCACATACCCCATGCCCCCACATTGTCAATGGGAAAACAAAATATCACCAGATTCCTAAGTTCAAAGACTGCAAATAAAAGAAATCAAGACTTATTAGCTCATCATCAGTATACCAAAAAAAAGAAGAGATATGAGACTATTTTAAGAGTATAAAACAGTGCACACAGAAACGCCGCAAAAATGTTTACCCTTAAAATCTGGTCGTTCACTAAATCCCCCATGGGGATTTTCAAAAGTTGGCAGGTCTAAAAGACTTATAACTCCTACAAGTCAACTGATAAAAATTTCTTGTGGATAAACACTTTGCACATTTACATAGTATGTCCTAATTATCTACAAAGTTTTATTAAATTCTATTGTGTGGATTCAGAGGAGTTGGGATGACAAACTGTTGCAGTAGTATATGTAGGTCAAAATTCTATGTTCAAAGGGGTATAACTTCTAGAAAAAAAATGAATCATAATTTCCTGTCGATAAGCACATCTACATAGTATGTTCTTATCATCTACAAAGTTTCATGAGATTCTGTAGTGTGGATTCAGAGGAGTTGTGTGGACAAACTGTTGTACTAGTATATTTAGGCAGAAATTCTTAAGTTCAAAGAGGCATAGCTCCTAGAAAAAAAATTGAATCATAATTTCCTGTCGATATGCATATCTACATAGTATGTCCTTGTTATCTACAAAGTTTCATAAAATTCTGTTGTGTGGTTTCAGAGGAGTTGTGGTGACAAGAACAGGACTGACGGACAGACAGATGGACAGGTCAAAAACATTATACCCTACAGAACTTTGTTCCGTGGGGTATAATAATGAGGCGACTTAAGATATCAGCCATGATGGTTTATTTGTAGATCTTGTCTTGCTATACAAAGTTTCTGTCTATCTCTTGCTGATCATTTTTGCTATATAAAAGTTTCTATCTATCTGTCTATTATAGTTTTCAACATAATAGGCAAATATGCAAAAAATTTGGAAAATCATCATTATGATTAAAAGGCAATAACTTCAATTAGAAAACGACTAACAATTTGGGTCATGCAGACTTATTTGTAAATCTTTTCTTGCTGATCATTTTTTCTATTTTAAGTTTCTATCCATCTTTTAGGGGACGACCATTTGATATTCTGGGGGGGCCAGGAGGATTTGTTTTGGATCGGTTATTTATTTTTGTAAACTAAGAGGACAGATTATTTATTTTCTGCACTGTTGAAGCAAGATTTTTCATTTTCATTAAAACAAGGGACTGATTATTTATTTTCATAACTATATTAATAATATTTAAAAACATACAATTTTTTAAATTCATTTTTTATTATAAATAATACATGTACAGTCAAGTCATTAATGTACCATTTAATCAGAATTAATCATCATCCTCTGCGGAAATGAATCTTCTGAATTCCAAACTGCATATACATGTATTGCATACATACACGGTATTAGAGTTGGGCTGTGACTAGCCTCTTTTAAAAGTATTGCCAAATACATTTACGCCGAGCGGAGCGAGGCAATAAAATTTTGAAGGGTTTTGAAGCCGCTGAAGGCCCAAAGAAACTATAGAACAAATGATGCAAAATCGTGCTTTCTGGGCGTTCCCAGACCCTTTCTTATTCTGAAAACGCAAGTTCTGTTTTAATAATTTTGTGACAATATTTTGGCCTCAAAGCAAAATGTATAGATTCAGCGTAAGACTTAAGTTTTTATGGACAACATCAAAAGACCAATATGAAGAATAAAGTAAAAATGTAATTCACATAGTTAAGTATGTGGCTGCTGGTTTTTTTGTTTTTTTGTTGTTTTTTTTTGTTTCGGCATGCAGAATTTAAATCTTTTATACCTGTAAATTATATGGGGTTTTATTCAAATTAAGTTAAGAGGGGGCTGATAATCAGTGATATAGCTATGTCAAGTAATTTTATATGAATTTGGTTAAATATATACTTACCATGAAATTACATTTATATTATATAGAATATGTTTGCTTTCACAACATGTTTTCATCGCAATTAACTAGGTGATTAAAAATTACATCCATAAGATGTACTCACCTACGTCATAATTTACCTGTGTAACATACAGTATCTTTAGTTTTAATTTGTCGTTTAATTGAATAATTTCAATTATGTGAACAAAAAACTGAATTTATTCCAGGGGTGGTGGTGGATTGTGGTAAGTATATTTAACCCTATAAATTCATATAAAATCTCTTCTTGAGATTTCAAAAATAACCATTTTTAATAACACATTTCAATTACAACTTGATGTAGCTCTTAACTGGGATACAATTTAAAGTAGTTAAGTTGTAAAATTAGCTAAAAAGTCTTAAATAAAATAAAACTCATGATCAAGTTGAAAACAAAATTACTAAATCACAAAAGGAATGCAACACTAAGAGAATACAGAAGGGTAATCAATGAACAAAAGACAAATTTAAAGAAACATTGATCCAGAAAAAACAGGTGCGACGTCCAAGGGAGAACAGAACTTGCTTCTTGCAAACACTTGCTGTGAAAACAATTTGATATGAAGACAAGCTTTTGGTTTTAAAATTTCCTACATAAAGGCATTTGCCTCAATGTAGTTACAGCCCTGTAATAAAAGTGTGGTAAGTGTTCCTGAGCCAATATATCTCAAGTTAAATGAAACCAATTTTCAGACATTTCAAGTATATTTAAATAATATTTATACCTTTATTATTAAAAGATTTGGGAAGTGTTTCCCGAATCTTTTTTTGAAAAAGATGAATTTTATGAAGAATCTGGTGCCACCTCATACTTTCAAATAGCATTTATAAAATGGCTCAAAGACCTGCCGAGTTATTCATTATCAATACATTGTAAGTCAGGTTATTTATTTTCGAACTACCACAGAACAAACCATTTATTTTTGTGATTATCAAGGCTGAGTTATTTATTTTCAAAATCCTCCTGCCCCCTCCCCCCCCCCCCCCCCCCCCCCCCCCCCCCAGAATATCAAATGGTCGTCCCCTTATAGTTTTTAAGTTATAAGCCAAATTGTCATATGTGATGTATGTGAAATCAGGTGTTATATTGCTTCTGGAATCTCTACTTAATATTTGTTACAAGAAACAATCATTAAAATTGGTAAGGATGGCAACAGACAATCTTGAGGGTCCAAAGAGCCTGAATTGCTTACCTGGAAAAAAACAACACCATTTTGATATTCATTTTTTTTCCTTTATTGCAATCAGATATGTTTGATTATTCATAGATCTTATTTCATTGTATTTTGTGGCGTTTTTGTAGGTCTTGGGTTGATGATCATTTTTACTGTTTACAGTTTATACCTATCTATTAAATTTTTTGCGATAAAAAATGACAATGAATGAATCCTATAACTAGCGTGACAATTTGGTCATGTTCACTTACTTTTAGATCTTATTTGGTGATTTTTTTTAAAAGTTTCTCTCCAACTCCTATAGTTTTTGACAAAAATGAAAAAAAAAAAATCTTTCAAGGACAATATTAACAGCTATTATAACTACTTTCAGGGGTCAATTGACAATTTCAGTCAACAAATGTTGACTTATTTGTATATCTTATTTTGCTGAACATTTTTGTTATATATTTATGATATTGTTGCTCTTTATCTATCTTTGTTTCTGCATAAATTTCATAAAAAGGGTAAAAAGGGTCATTCAGGGGAGAAAAATTTCAGCCATATCGACTCATTTGTAGATCTTATTGTGCTTAACATCCTATTTGCAATTTCTCTCTATCTACATGATCTAACGGTTTCTGCAAAAAATGGAAAAAAAAAGGATAAAAACCATCTTTCAAGGACAAGGGCAATAAATACTCCTTTAAGTGGTCAATTGACAGTTTTCTCCCAGTTGACTTATTTGTAGATCCTATTTTGCTAAACACTTTTGGTTTTTTAAAATTTCCTTCTATCCATTATAGATTCTGCAAAAAGCGCCAAATATTAGTAAAATAAGTCATTCAAGGGAAATAACTTTTATAAGGAGTCAATAGACAAGTCATCCATGTTAACTTATTAGTAAATCACATTTTGATGAACATTTTTACTCTCAAATGATTCTCTCTATCAACTATAGTTTCCTAAAATAAAATTCAAAAAGGGTAAAAATTATTTTTTAGAGGCAATAATTGCTATAAAGGGTCATTTGACAAATAATGCTCAGTTTGACTTAATTATTTGTAGGTCTTATTGTTCTGCTCATTTTTACTGTTTGTAATTTCTTTTTATCTGTTATAGATTTCAAGATAATAACCAAAAAATTAAATTTGTACACAAAAAAAAACATATCAGGGGCAATAACTCTAAAATGGGTGTCTGATTTTTCAGAAATTTAAGGAGATAGACTTTGACCTGCCAATCATTATTACCCATGTCAGATTTGCTCCAACTGCTTTAGTTTTAGCAAAAACTGCATTTCACCCCTACATTTTATTTTCAGCAGCGCCAATACGGCAACAGCAGCCATGTTTGCTGATTGATCAAATCCCATGATTTGAATTTTAAACTAAACACCCTTTATCTAGCTGCAAATTCGTAGCTCTTATGGTCCTGATATTTTGTGACAATTTGAGGACAACTAGCAGAGAGCTGCGGTTATAGGCTATATCTATCGGATCCTGAAGATACTGAAATTTCATACCTTTATACCTTCATCTTCGGGTCATTAAAAAAGCCACTGACCCCTCATCTTGGAATGTCATAATGAAATTTCTCATCGCATAATAATATATATATTATATTTATTAAAAAATAAAAACTTATATAGGTGTACGCAACTTAACAATTAACACGAACTTATAAATTTATACGGGTTCCAATTTTCGCCATTTAACGCAGACTTAAAATTATTCAAAGTCTATGCCGTCACTGTTAAATCTGACAGGTTATTCCACTGATCCACTACTCTAATTGAAAAAGTATTTAGTCTATGTGTCGTCTTACACTGTTTCTTAAATAGTTTTAAAGAGTGACCTCTAGTTGTATTAGATGGTGCTAAAGTAAATAGATTCATCCAGTTGATATCATCAATACCATGTAACGCTTTGTAGACTTGAATCATGTCGTTTCTGTCTCGACGATATTCCAACATTGGCAATCCGAATGAACATAATCTATCCTCATAACTTTAATGATTTATATCCTTAACGAGTTTAGTGGCCCTTCTTTTGACAGATTCCAATTTACGAAGATCTTTTTTAAGATGCAGAGACCAAACACATGTAGCATATTCCAACAGTGGACAAACAATTGACTTATAAAGAGTAAGAAACATATCCTGATCCATGTAGTAGAAGGAATGATGAATCAGAGATAAAACTCTCTGTGCTTTATTAACAATACTACTTATATGTTTTTCGAACTTTAAATTTGACTCGAAAGTTACTCCAAGATCCTTTTCTTCATTCACCTTAGATAAAGCTATGAAGTTGTCTGAATCATCTAACATGGTATAACGATATTGTTGGTCATTGTCAGGATTAATATGTAATACTTTACATTTAGCAGCATTAAATTTTAACTTCCAAGTATTAGACCATTCACATAAACTGTCCAAATTTTCCTGTAATTTACTGCGCTCATTATCTGATGAGACTTTAGAATATACTTTATAGTCATCAGCAAAAATTTTCACTATGCCCTCTACTACATCAGGAAGGTCATTTATAAATGTTAAAAAAAGAACTGGTCCTAAAACACTACCCTGAGGTACACCACTCAAAAGATCTGACAATAATGAAGTTGTATTATTTATACGAACACATTGCTTACGTCCAGATAAAAAACTTTTAATCCAATTTAAAATACTGCCCTTGATTCCAAGTTTTTCAAGTTTCAAAAATAAACGCTAATGCGGCACGGTATCGAATGCCTTGGAAAAATCAAGGTAAATCGACTCCAGTGGAAAACCACCATCAATTAATTCTGACCACTCATCCAAAACCTTCAGGAGTTGAGGAACACATGATCTACCTGGTGGGAAGCCATATTGACTACTTGGCATTTTTCCAAGCATCTGACACTTTACCCTCTTTAATTGACTTTTGAATTTTAAACAGGGGATAACAAAATAGCATATGTCTAATTTCGTATAAAACTTTCGGATATAGACCATCAGGTCCTGCCAACTTATCTGTCTTTAATTTATTAAGTTTCTTTAGCACATCTTTCTGACAAATATTAATGTCATCTAAAAAATTGTTCGACTCTGAATTAGTATCATATTAATCTTTCAAGTCATCTGTATGAGTAAACACACTAGTAAAAAACTGATTTAAAACTTTAACTTTATCAGCAGTACTTGATGCTAAAGTACCATCCAGTTTCTCAAAAGTGCCTATTCCTGCATGATCTAGTCTTAAGTTTACTGTTAACACAATTCCAAAACGATTTAACATTAGTCTTTGATTCTAAGCCCACTTTTTGCTCAAAACTAAGTTTGGCATTTCTAACAGCATTTGTACATTCGTTACAATCCTTCATATATTTTGCATATGACAAGTTACTTCTTGAATGTTTATATTTTTGTTTCTTGACAATTGCAGACTTAGTACCTCTATCCATCCACAGCGGTGGGCTTACGGTCAGTCCTTTTCTTAGGAATAAAATTATCAATATTTTCTGACATTATTGAAAAGAAACATTTCCACATTTCATCAATACTTTTATTATTTAGCAAAACATCCCAGTCAATGCATGTTGTTCAAACTCTCATTAAAAAGCTCATAGTTACCTCTAAAATATGAAAAAAGATCGCCTGAAGTTTTCTCATTATTCATGTTATTCAATTAATAACAAAAATCAAAATTGATCATGCAATGGTCACTCTTCCCCACTGGTCATGCTCGTGTATCAGTTTGTATCGAGTCTTTGGCTATCATATTTTCTTTATTAGTAAAAACCAGGTCAAGTAAATTAGCATTTTGACCAGTACGAAAACGTGTTGGTGAACATATATGTCATGTATGTTGAAAGAGGAATTTATTCTAATACACTCATAAAATTTAAAAGGATCTGTGTTAATACCACTCGATACTTCATTATCAACCCACTTGATCTCAGGATAGTTAAAAGTCTCCCATAATTAAATAGCAGCTATATAATTTTTAATTACAAGCTTGACATATTATTAGATTGTTCAATTTCTTATTGTTTGAAGCTACAGACGACAGACTCCTATATAAACATGATAAATACAGCCTAATAAAAGTTTATCAGTTCCTTCTAACTTCACTTTGCACCACACAGATTCATTAAAATCAGATTCAGATAAAATGTCAACTTTGAAAGCTGTCAACCACTTATGAATATAAAATTATAACTACACCTCTAAATTAAAAATTAAAAAATTAAAATTAAAAAAAATTGTAAATTTCATAAATAAAAGAAAAATTGAAATTAACTCAAAACAACCTCATACAGGCATGCACCAGAAAGTAATCCTCATAAAGTTGATGGTATTCCGTAACTAAAGAAGAAGAAAAAGAAGACCCATCTTGTCAGGTATCCCGCAATGGTGGTAAGTCGTGCACTTAAGGACATTTTTTATTTTATTTTTCTGTAGACTTAGCTTTGTTTTTTTATTACTGTGTATTGTCAAGCTTGGTTACTCATAATTGTTTCTCAGTCAGTCAATGTATGATGTTGATGACACTGGAGCAGCTGACCCGGTTTGTTTACATTCAAATTCTAATGGCTTCAAAACCACGTGACACATTGAATTGTTATATCCAATCAAATTGCTCTACTGTCAATTAGGTGATTTTTTAGTACAAGGCAATTATATTATTTGTTTGTATGATATCACTTTGAAATAGTTTGCAATAAATTGGGGCTTTATTCAATAGGAAACCTCATTATTAGCCATGAAATTTGACATCAATGGAATTTTATATGAACATTTACTTATGGTCAGAATATCGATCTCATTATATTGAACCAAAAATTTTTTTTTATGAAAAATATATGTATATTGTTTTTTATTAACCTACTCTATATTCCTGATCAAAAATATGGCATGATTATCGTTTGTTTCCCAAAGTTTTTCTTTCAATTTGGATGGGTTTTTTCACAGGAAAATCACGTAAGACGTAAGGTGCTTGCCATTTTGATATTCTTAAAAATACGATTTGCTTGGCCTGTTTGGTCTGCCATTAAGATTGATGACGCTTAATGGAATGTAAACAAAGCAATGGAGGCCGAAAGAGGGATTTTCTGAAGTTCTGGAATGTGTTTAGGCATTTGGAAGTCAGGTTTGAAACGGCCATTAGAAAATTGGCATTTTTGTACAATACTTTAGAATAACAATGAAAACATATCTTTATAATTTTTTTTTTATTTAGAAAAGTAGAAAAAATGTATTCTGCACTTATTTTGTACGGTGGTATTAGCGTAGTGACGTCAATGCAGAGTTTTCCCATGTGATAAGTACAATAACAAAATCCGAACGAACCAACATGATGACCGATTATAGACTACGGTAGGATATATACTTTTCATAATCAGGAAGATTTAGCATGGATGGTCTAGATTTACCCATAAGAGTTTTCAGGATATATTTCACAGAAACCTATAATATGTGGCTTCTCAATTGCTAAATATGACTCAAACTCTGAACGCTTATTTGACAGGGTGTCAACATTAGTCATTACTGACATTACTCATTAGAGCATCATGTAAAGTTTATTGTATCATCTGGCCCACATGGCCACAATATCCAGAGGAGAACATATTTTTCTTAAAGTTTGCGACGACGGACGACGGACGACGGACGACTGAGACAGACGATGCGGCGCCAAGTGATGGCAAAAGCTCACATATAATTAAAAAAAAAACAATTTACTTCTTTCCGTCTGCCATTTCAGTCCGAGGAACTCCGAAAATTTGTTTACGGTGAAAAAAAAAAACTATTCGGACCCGTAAAGGATATTTTGTTTTTAGAAAGAAGAAAAATATATTTGCAAGAAGTGAAAACTAATACACTTATGATCAGTATACAAAAAAGTAAAATTCCTATATTAAATCAAGGATATATATGAGTTCTAAATCCTTTATTAAATAAAATTTTGCCAGTAAAGTTTTATATCACATGTTTTCAATGTCGTAGTTCATATTATTTATTTTTAATATCACAAGCGGCAGATAAAACTGAACCCGCATCAAAACATAAAAAATACAAAATGTATTTTTATGAAGTTCTTTAATTATGGAATCTGGCAGTTCATTTGTTCTTTGGGAATGCTGTCGTTTTACGTTTCTCTCAGTTTATACAGTGTTTAAAGCGTTTTATTATGCCTTAAAAACATTAATTTTAAAGATTTTCCCAAGAAGAGAAAAATCAGTTGCAGACGACGTAATCCTGATTACTGGTGGTGGAAGAGGAATTGGGAGGCAAATGGCTTTAACCTTTTCTAAACTAAAACCTAAACATGTAAGTAGTCAATTTGTCTATCAAACTATGTTGTATAACAAATTATTATTCTAATACTCAAAACGGACTTTTATTTTTAATCATAGATTGTTTCTCTGCTTTGTTGTCTTCCAAGTTGTCTTCCTGTTGTCTGGGATATTTAACAAACTACATAAATGTTTAAATAAGATTTTTATTTAGAAAACACAAGTTTATATATATACAATGAATTTAAAAGTATGGTGGCATCTTCAGCCCAAGACATGATTACTACAAATTCTCATTCTTTCCAAGAACAGTAATAGCCTGGAATAAATTACCGGAATTGACAGTGAAAGCTCCCACTATCGAAGCTTTCAAGACACTAGTTACCTAGATGATGGAATGTTTTTATCCTGCACCAACTGTACAGCATGCACCGTATTTTCTTTTTTGATCTTTGATCTTTTATTGTAAATAGACATTACCAACACCTATGTAACACACAAGTATTGAGTACTCATTATTGAGTTTAACTACTATATCTAAGAAGAAGAAGAAGCTGGCTAGTCTACAAATGTTGCCTTATGAAATTTTCCCTAACTGTATGAGAGCCAAAGTATGTGCTTCTGCTCATTTCAAATCCTAAGCATTGCTAAGCGGTAGACTGTGCTGACCATGCAAGAAACAGAAAGTAACCTGACAGGAATATTTACATGGCCGGTTTCGCAAGAAATAGTTATGGAACTAAATAACACTAACTTTCCCCAAATAAATAATCTAGAGAAGTAAACAACATGAACAAAGTGACTATCAGCATACTAGTTTCTAGTTTTTTTTTAAAGAACACAAAGAATGAGTTACTCTGGTTGGCCTGAGATCATTCGGCATAAATGGCTTCTTTTTGAACAATCTGTGATAATATAATATTCGGTCATGCAGTTTACTATTCACAGGAACAATTTACTCTTACTGTGACATCTTAAATGTACAGGAAAATGCACAAATGTGAAAGTAGTTTTAGTATAGATAGTTTTCAATTGATGCAAATTGAGCAAGAGCTAAAAATGTATATAAGCCTTTTATTGCAGTTGGAATTCTCTATGCACAAATTCCTTCATTGATGATGGGCCCCAGCCAAAATCAACTTGTTATACTGACCACTAGTCTTTAGAAAACAAATTTTTTTATTTCTTTCAGCCTTGCATTATTCATCACTATCATCTAGTAAAGTTCGCTGATCAGGAGGGTTGAGAGTTCAAAATGTATTGCAGTTTAACTTTAACACAACATATTTTCATGTGTCTGTCTCAAATGAGGAACCACTAACTTCAGTAGTTATCTTATGTCCATATCTTTATGTTTTATTATGTTTAGTTAATGTATGAAGAATGGTGTTTAAAGGTAGCTAAAAGATTTAAAATTATTCACAATTTATATTTAGACTTCATGTTGGGACCATTTAGAACTTATCATATTGTGTAAACACCTGTCTATTAATATATAGAAGACTGTATGTTTCTTTTGATTATTTTTAGCATTGGCCATGGGTTGTTGTTTTATTGTATATTAAAGGCGACTTACAGGACTTAAGTACATAATAGTGAAATGTATTTTGTGCATATTATAATATTGTGTGTGTATATTATAATTTATATATATAAATTAAAGCTGCATTTTGCTTAATTAGAATTGAATGCTTCTTTTTGTAATTTTATAGGTTTGTAAAATTTTGATTGTGCACACATTTTTAGTATGAAATTTATTGAAAAAATTAAGTGCATCCACGCTTCATACAAAATGTCCTTTGTCAAAGTTTATACACCTCAATAAATTTTCAAAAAGAAGGTTTCAATTCTTTTAAACTAGTTAGTGAAATGAAACTTGACATACAGTATTTTAGTTGTCTTCATGGTCTTAGTTCACACAAAATTTTGTATACATGTATGATATAACAAGATAAGATAAGATAAGATATTTTTATTCTAATGAAAGGGCCCATGATTCCAGCAAAGTAATTTATTACAATGATTTAGATGATTGACACAATAATGTTGATAATCACATATAAATATGAATATAATCATCTCAATTCTAAGATGTTAAACCACAGCCGCATGATATGTAACACTCCATATAAGCTGGCATATTGTTTAATCAAATATATATAAACTTATATATCATCGTGTTAATTTAATTTTTGCTGACACTGATATTTAGAAGTCATAAAAGTTGATTTTCAGATACCAGCATAAGAAATATCAGATATATTTTGTTTCTTTTTCAGATAATTAAATCAATGTTTAACAATTAGATAGGTACATGTTTGTTAAATAAAAGTATAAAAATAAAGACTAGAAGCATAAATCACTCATGATATCTGAAAACTTCTCTCCCAAGTAAAATGTTCATTATGTCTATTAGAACCAGGTTCATTTTGTTGAATAAAATGATCACATCATTCATTTAAATGACATACCAGTACATGTATATCTTTACAGCACTAAAATTGTTTGATTTAAATTGTTGATATTTAGAAATTAATATTTTGGTTAATAATTGATAATTCTGGGTCAGTTGATTGACAAAAATTACATTAAAAGAATGTACATGTATTAAATTAAATTCAGTACAAACAAGGAATTATTTGAATCTGGAATAATTTGAAATTCTGGAAAATTAATAAGAAATGTATGATGAAAGCTAACCCAACTAAATAGGGTTAGCTATGGGTGCATGGCTAAGGTGGTTAGTTAGTTCATAATGAAACATTAGTGGATGTAAAATTAACCTTAGCCATGCACGCATGGCTAACCTATTTAGTTGGGTCATAATTTTCATCATACTTTTTTTTTATCAATTTTCCAAAATTCAAAATTATTCCAGATTAAACATGTTTAATAATTACTTGTTTACAGGCTAATTACCAAACTTATAATAAGAGGAAAATCCTTATAAAGATTAAGACAATTTAAGAGGTTAACAAGTTTGAGGTAAAGGTCACAGACGCCAATATCTAGATACAATAAATTACTGCACAAAAGGGTTTTCCAGATGGCAACTAAAAAAAGAGGTGGAAGATTCCAAGGGGACATTCAAAACTCATAAGCAAAGAGAAACTGACAAAAAACAAAAGACGTAAAGACGAACATTGAAGATTTCAAATAACGTGAATAACAAGTACATTATTAATGAATTTGTCAAAATAACTTGACCATTGTTGACAGGATATTTTCTTTCAGTTTTTACATGGCTTAGTCATGTACATATTGAGAGCAATTAAGATTTCTAATGATTTTGAGGTACAGTTAAAGAATTGCCAAATAATATTTCGTCTTTTATTACCACTTCCTTGGATTTGTTTAATTGCTAAAAAATATTGGCTCATTAAAGGGATTTGAGCTTGCTTACTTAACTTTAATTGTTTCTATATTATTTCACTGTGTAGCTAGGATATTTTACGTACCCCTCTATAGAGTAGGATATAAATTTATTCTGCAGTGGTTCTGCCTGAATTATGTATTATAACATGTGAAGATTATGATACAAGTATAAGAAAATAGATATAGTATGATTGCGCGCTGATGAGACAACTCTTGTACTTAATATGTGCAAGTGAATATCTATGACCAAAATATAAAAAATGAAAAGATTTTATATGCTTGCACTGGTGAGACATTTCTCCACCAAAGATGAAAAGATGTGAAAGTGAATTTTTATACACATATTTAAATCTAACCATGTATTTAATATTTACAGATCATTTTATGGGGAAGGAAAGAAGTGCCCTTACAGAAAACTACAGAAGATGTACAGAGTCTTGGTGTGTCCTGTTCGTATTTTGTCTGTGATGTTTGTGACAGAGAACTTGTCTATAAAACTGTAATTATTACACAAGGTTTTTTTTTTTGTTGCTTAAATATTTCTTCCAGTTTGTCAGATCTCCATAAGATAGGTATTTTCAAGTACCAGATCACCCAATGAAACTCCTGCTTTTGGATAAATGCCATGCTGTATTTTATAAGTTAGTTGCAAATAAACAATGATTTAAGATTAATTTTTAAAATTTTATGCATGAAATAGTAAGGAGGGGGAGTAATTACATCCATAAACTATTTGTGTCGTGAATATTTATGTAAAGCAGTGATCGATTTGGTCCAGTTGAAAAAAGTCAAAATTAGTATGTCTGAAGCTGTCAAACTGAATTATACTATATATACCCCCTTGACATAAAATTGACCATATTTTGAGTTAAAACTCTTAAAAATATTATTAAGAAAGAGAATATTAAGGTGCGGTTGTATTTATTGTTCTGAAAATATCAGCACAGTGACTATGAAATACCTGATTTCTCTGGCAAAACTAAATCTAACATTCATAGCTCAACAAATTATTTACTTTTTTTAAGCCTTTGGTCATACATGTAATGTGCATCAGACTTGGAGTTGAGCCCAACACCTCCTAAAGCTTATTCTATTTTAAAAGGACAAAGATTGATATGAGTCAGATGCACGCAAAACAAAATTATTTCATGGATTTCGTGCAAAATAGAACAAAGCCAAAACCATGGACATTCCTAATAGGTCTTTAAGGATGAAATAATAAAAGACTGCCATTGCCTCAAAGTTTGTCATGGTACCATGAAAATTGTGTCGGCTTCCTACGACCTCCATTGTCAGATTTCTTAATTTTTCTGTCGGTTCTTGCTCCTTTTGAAACAATTTTCTCCACCAACACCTATGACATGATGAGTTGAAATCTAAATTGAACCATCTTAATGAATAACAGGAGTTGGGGAACAGAAGCTAGCACTTTTACACAAAAAGAAACATATTGTGTATATAATATGTGTCTTAATTTTTCTGTGTCAGACGACAAATACTGCTAATCTCCTTTTATTCATTCATATAGGGACCAAATGTTGATGAATTGGACCAATGAATTAACAGCTTGCTTTTTTATAATGACTTAGAAGTAGTTTTATACTCAAAACAATAAAAAGAAAGAAAGAAAAAAAAACCAGAAAGACAAAAATGAAAATTTAACATGAAATGTTGAATTGATTGAAAAGGATTTAGTGAGGAGAGATAACTGGTATTTGTTATTTGCCAAGATACATGTAACAGGAATTGATATAAAGAAGCAGGCTTTATTATTTCAGGGAGAAGAAATAAAGAATTCTATTGGTGATGTAACAATTCTAGTCAACAATGCTGGTATATTTAATGGTGCTTTAGTCTTAAATGATACAGAGGAAAATATACAGAAAACTTTTGCAATAAATGCATTGGCACATATTTGGGTGAGTTTCAACTTGTGATGATTGGAAACACAAAGGCATAGGCAGCAAAGGGCATATGAAAAGGTTTTAGGTAATGTAAATGTATTTGGATTTTAATTGATTTGAAATTTTACCCCATAGTCTTTCATTGTGGTCCTGCTGATTATTTGGCGTAAATAGATATAAGAAGATGTGGTATGAATGCATATGAGATAACTCTCCATCCAAGTCACAATTTGTAAAAGTAAACTATTATAAGTCAAAGTACAGCCTTCAACACAGAGCCTTGGCTCACACCGAACAGCAAGCTATAAAGGGCCCCAATAATGACTAGTGTAAAACCATTCAAACAGGAAAACCAACGGTCTAATCTATATAAAAAACGAGAAACACTTATTGAACCACATCAACAAATGACAACCACTGAACAACAGGTAAGACCTTTAGTAATCAGCTTGTTTGTCTATCCTTCAGCTCTCTAACTTTATACCCATAGGAATAGACGATTTTCATATTACCCAGCTATGACTCCAGAATATATAATTTTTCGACAGGTTGCCTACTGACTGTGGTAAGACATTCTGGTCGGCTCAGGGGATATAGGACACTAGTTGACAGGGATTATGATCCTATATATGACTGTGAAGTCTGATTTCAATTTTAGATACAAACTGATCTTCATTTTTGTTCACAGGGAATATGGTCTCATACACCATGTTAAGGTAACCAATCAAATGCATGATAAACTGGGATTTTTACAGAAGATGTACAAGCTAAGGGGAAATAACTCTTACAGAAATATGAAAATGGGCTATTGGGTAATGTAAGTTGCATGATTATTCATCACAACGAGAATTTGGTTTCAAGTACAAGGAAGAAAACCATTCAGTGAAAGAACAAAACAACTTAATTCTTCCTAGTCAACCCCTGTGTATATATATATATATATATATATATATAAAAATCATTTTAGCTGGGTTGGGCAATGAAACTTTGCATTATTATTCCTCACTACTTCCAGGTGTGTCAGTTACGATCAAGGAAGAAGACCATCATTGTGCAATCATTTCTGGAAAAATAATTAGAAAATTGATTAAATCCGGCAAAGAATGACTTATTATTTAAAAAGTAATGTTTTTTTTGCATGTAATATTTGAAAAGTTTATGTTTTAGAAGTAATAATGGTCTAGTATTATGTTGATTTGTTCACAATAGGCCATAAACAAATCAACTTTTAAAAATAATTTCAAAATTTTTATAAAAACTGTAGAGCTATACATTTTGTTTGCAGGCATATAAAGCTTTTTTGCCAGGAATGATATCCCAAGGCCGAGGGCATATAGTAACAATCAGCTCAATGTTGGGGATCATGTCCCTGAGAGGTGCTTCCAGCTATTGTGGTTCTAAATTTATGACAACAGGCATATCTGAGGCCCTCCATTTAGAGCTTGAGGAATATCCAAATATACACCTTACTTCAGTACACTCATACCAGGTTCAGAATGACATGTTCCAGGACTTAAAACTAAGGTGAGACAAGACATATTTAAGGACTTAAAACTAAGGTAAGACTTGTCGTGTTTCAGGACTTAAAACTAAAGTGAGACTAGTCATGTTTCAGGACTTAAAACTAAGGTGAAACAAGACATGTTTCAGGACTTAAAACTAAGGTGAGGCAAGACATGTTTCAGGACTTAAAACTTAGGTAAGAATTGTCATGTTTCAGGACTTAAAACTAAGGTGAGACTAGTCATGTTTCAGGACTTAAAACTGAGGTGAGACTTGTCATGTTTCAGGACTTAAAACTAAGGTGAGACTAGTCGTGTTTCAGGACTTAAAACTAAGGTAAACTAGTCATGTTTCAAGACTTAAAACTAAGGTGAGACGAGACATGTTTCAGGACTTAAAACTAAGGTGAGACTAGTCATGTTTCAGGACTTAAAATTAAGGTGAGACTATTTATTTTTCAGGACTTAAAACTAAGATTAGCCTAGTTGTGTTTTAGGACATAAAACTAAGGTTAGACTAGTTGTGTTTCAGGACTTAAAATTAAGGTTAGACTAGTCATGTTGCAGAACTTAGAACTAAGGTGAGACTAGTCATGTTTCAGGACTTAAAACTAAGGTGAGACTAGTCATGTTGCAGAACTTAAAACTAAGGAAAACTAGTCATGTTTCAGGACTTAAAACTAAGGTGAGACTAGTCATGTTGCAGAACTTAGAACTAAGGTGAGACTAGTCATGTTTCAGGACTTAAAACTAAGGTGAGACTAGTCATGTTGCAGAACTTAAAACTAAGGAAAACTAGTCATGTTTCAGGACTTAAAACTAAAGTGAGACTAGTCATGTTGCAGAACTTAGAACTTAGGTTAGACTAGTCATGTCTCAGGACTTAAAACTAAGGTTAGACTAGTCATGTTTTAGGACTTAAAACTAAGGTTAGACTAGTCTTGTTTCAGGACTTAAAACTAAGGTAAGACTAGTCATGTTGCAGAACTTAAAACTAAGATTAGACTAGTCATATTTCAAGACTTAAAACTAAGGTTAGAAGAGTCAAGTTTCAGGACTATGAACTAAGGTTAGACTAGTCATGTTTCAGGGCTTAAAACTAAGGTTAGACTAGTGATGTTTCAGGACTAAGAACTTAAGTTAGACTAGTAATGTTTCAGTGCTTAAAACTCAGGTTAGACTAGTCATTATTCAGGACTTAAAACTAAAGTTAGACAAGTCATGTTTCAGAACTTAGAATAGTGATGTTTCAGGAAAACTTATGTTAGACTAGTCGTGTGTCAGGACTATAAACTAAGGTTAGACTTATCATGTTTCAGGACTTAAAAACTAAGGTGAGACTAGTGATGTTTCAGGACTTAAAACTAAGGTTAGACTAGTAATTTTTCGACTTAATACTAAGGTTAAACTAATAATGTTTCAGGACTCAAAACTAAGGTTAGAATTGTCATGGTTTAGGAATAAAAAAACTAATGTTAGACTATTGATGTTTCAGGACTTTAAACTTGGGTTAGACTAGTCATGTTTCAGGACTTAAAACTAAGGTTAGACTAGGGATGTTTCAGGACTTCAATTTAGGTTAGACTAGTCTTTAATTGTTACAGGAATAATAACCAATGTTAGACTAATGATGTTTCGGGACTTCAAGCTTAGGTTAGACTAGTCATGTTTTTAAACTTAAAACTAAGGTTAGACAAGGGATGTTTCAGGAGTTAAAACTAAGGTTAGACTAGTAATGTTTCAGATCTTAAAACTAAGTTTAGACTAGTGATGTGTCAGAACTTAGAAATTGGGTTAGAGTGTTTAAGAAGTTAAAAGTAAGGTTAGACATTATAGCAGATATTTATGTAATTATTTGATATAAGGCCTAGGTATGACAATGCTGAGCTCTATACAGTGTGGTTCATTTTCAAAAGTGATTTGTATGCCAATAATAAGAATAAGTGGACCTATAATTTGCCTGATAATTATGTTGTTATTACAGATTTCCCTGGCTGATACCGCCTCTGTCAGAAGAATATGTGGCCAAAGCAACAGTCAGAACAGTGCTTTTTAATGAAAAAATAATAATGATGCCAAGGATTATGTACCTCTTAGTGCCTTGCTTAAGGTATATATATATTATACATATATAATGGACTTTACATGTAATAAAATCTTGTACAATTTAATTTATCTTCCAATTTTACAGTTTTTTGTCTCACCTGCGACTTTTGTCACAGAATGAGAGACATAGGAATTACTTACCCCTGAAAGCGTAATCTTTTTTCGATTTGGTAAAGGTAGAAGTACTAGATGCTTCATACCTTGTATGCAGATACCTTATGTTATGAAGTTTCCGTCTGTCATATGTCCATTGTCCTTGACTTCATTGTGATTGTTTAGTGACTGCTTGAAACAAAGGTGCAGTTTTTTGTCATGAGAATTATTGACTTATAATGAGTACAATGTAATAGAATAACTGTATTAGGTATAGGGGATCCGTGCAAGGTCTAAATGTTTGTGAGACAGGGTTCACCTGATCACACCCTCATTTCATGGATCTGTGATCAAGGTTAAGTTTTGTCTGTTTATTAGATAATATAAGCAATAGGTCTACACTATTTGGTGTATGAAATTTGTGTTGGAATCATGTGAGCATGCTTAACCCTGTGATGCATGTTTTACATCCATCATGCACTTATCAACTTCCTGTTTACCGAATACTATTAAATCAGGGGTATTATTAGTGAGTAATAGATCTTGTCTAATCTGTGTTCTGAATTTGGTTTAGTGCTTTAATAATTTCAAATATTTTCAGCATTTTTCCAGCAAAGGCCATGGCTCCATTATTCAGATTTTTGGGTGTGGACTCAGCACTGGATAGTTTGTTGGCACAGAAACAGAAAAAAGAATAATCCTGTTAATCTGCTGTTATTTATTGTTAACTGTTGTGACTGTCTCATTTAATACATGATATGTGAGCTTACTCACTAAAGTACATAAACATTAGTTGATTTTGTAAGTCTGCTTGTATATTTTTGTAGCTTTTTGATATATTCTGTTTTGATGAAGTATAAAATTGTTATTTGTGTTAAATATGAATTTTGTTAACATAAGGAGATCTGATATATACTTCAATCAGACAGAAAAAAAAACCAATGGACTTAAAATAACTATAGGACATATAGAGGGTAAAATACAGTGTTCAACAACAAACAGGTGTCTATACAATATGTCAAGTTCTAAATTGTCCAAGTCTTTAAAAATTGTGAATAAAAAAGCCAAGAACAATCAAAGATCTGCCATAATACAAAATTCTTCAAGAAAGAACCATTATAGTTTATATCAGAAGATTTTATTTAAACTGTATAAACCATGCATTGTTAAAAAAATTATGAAAACTGGCCTTCAGGGGGATTTAGATTTTCTATCAGTACAATAGATAAAAAAAAAACTGTGATCAAATTTTTAAGGTGAGTAACAATAATGAAACCACTGTTCCTAGGAAACATTCTTCTTGGAATTATATTTGTCTTTTGTTATCCAATTTTTTTTATTTTAAACAGAGATTTGTGAATATATATATAAGATACTAGTACTGTTATACTGTGGATTCATTATTATTCGTTGGATACCAATTTTCGTGGATTTCGCGGGTATACTTGAACCACTAATTTAAAAGTTCAACTAAGTTTTAATTTCCAAAAGTCTTGTATGCAGACATAGGCAAAATCATGAAATCAAATATCCATGAAGTTACAATGTTTCCCCAATCAATGAAAATTGGAACCTACGAAAAATAAACAGTAGATTAGAAAAATGTCTCACTTATTCATGTTCTTCTAGTTTTCACCACATGTTTAGTAGAGCAGTGAGACCTTGATACCTTCTTGTCAATATTAATGTTTACTTATGATATGTTGTACATCATTGATATAAGGTGTACACATTTTTCAGCATCCATGAATCCGAAATTGCTTACTGCATACAAATGTTTGCCCTCTTAGTCATATTTCATCGACTTCAAAATTGAAATATGAAGTTGCTTGATTATGCATGTTTATGAAAAAATAATGTTGTATTTTTAGGGTTCAAGGCATGCTTCAGGGACTTTTATATTTTGACAATTTTCAAATGTTTACTATTTTGATTACATGCATGTATTTAAATAACAAGTAAAGTGATGTTTGAAATTTTATTGTATTAGAATCTGAATGTGAATACATGCATTTGCAAGGATAATTTTTATGCCCCCGCCGTAGCGGAGGGGGATTAAGTTTTACTTTTGTCCATCCATACGTACGTCCGTCCGTCCGTCCGTCCATATGTCCCAAAGTTGGTTTCCATTCTCTAACTTAAGTTTGCCTCAACCAAATGTTATGAAACTTATACACAATGCTTATTACCACAAAACACAGATCAAGATAGAATTTTTGAGGCGTCACTTTAACCGTTCTAGAGTTATGCTCCTTTACGAATGGAAAAATTGCTGAATTTTTCATTTCCGTTCTTTAACTTTAGTTTGCCTCATCCAACTGTTATAAAACTTATACACAATGCTTATTACCACAAAATACAGATCAAGTTTGAATTTTAGTGGTGTCACTTTTACTGTTCTTTAGTTATGCCCCTTTACAAATTTTAAAAATTGCTGAATTTTTCGTTTCCGTTCTCTAACCTAAGTTTGCCTCAACCAAAGTTATGAAACTCATACACAATACTTATTACCACAAAACTCAGATCAAGTACAAATTTAGGTAGCCTCACTTTTAATGTTCGTCAGTTATGTTCCTTTATAACTTTATATGATATGCAAACGGGGGCATCATCTGTGTCCCCTAGACACATTCCCCATTTATTTTGTTATGCTCCACTGATATCGAAGTTAATTAGTTTATTCAATGGAAAGTGGTTTTTTTATCAAGCTTAAGCTAAATAGTAGTTAAATCTTGAGAGCTTTGTAAGATTGAAAATTTTATATTATGGGTGGTTGAAAAAATGTGGCTCCACACCATCCCCGCATGAATTTTAATCTGGACACCCCTTAATTGGAGAATTAAGATGATATTTTTATCAAACCAATGTTATATGTTTGCTGCATATCTCTGTGATGACTGTTTGTTATATTTTGTAATGTGCCATTTTCCTTACTAATTACAATCAAGAGCAATGTGTTACATGCCAAGTATGCAATATTACACTTATGCAGTTTCATACGTCTTTTTTGTCTTTTGTACAACAAATGATTCAACAGGAAAGACATAGGTATTACCTTCACTGAAAAGGGTACATTGTATATGGTATTGTAGTGAGCATTCCTAGTCAGTATGTCCTTAATTTAACACCATATATACTAAAAGTATTTTTGAAATCTTTATATGTTAATGAAATCATGAACAACTTCTCTACTGGCCCAACAACAATCAGTAACCAGTCCCCATCACCAGGCATTTTATGCAACAATTGACAACTAGTGTGTATATAGATTGTTACAGATTTATTTATTACATTGCTTATTTTCAGATGTTTTTTTTATCTAAATCTATATAGTTTGCAAAATTTTGCTTTAATAATTAAAAGATTATATCTAATGCAAAAAAATAATTAACAAAATGAATAGAAAGTAATGGAGTGAATACATTGACAGTAACAGCAAGTGTTCAGGTGTTTTATTCATAATTCTAAACAACATTATTTATATAAACAAATTGAGATAATCTTTGTCAATGGTCTTTCATTTGTATCTGGTTGAATGGTACTGCAAAGACAATGGTACTACAAAGGACATTGAATTGCTGTTGTAGTCATAAACTGTGCCTCCCTCTGTATAGGTTGGATTGTGAAATTCTTATTTACTTAAGAAACTTTATGGTCAACTTTTTTATTTATTGACAAAAGTTCTGACAAAAATTGTCAGAGATCATATAACAATTAGAAAACTATGGAATATAGATTCAGATACCACAATTGAATTTTGTCTCACCTCAACAAAATTGAAAATGTGAAACTTAGGCTTGCTATTAACTTTTGCATAGTTCACATGGCAAGTTTTTAATTAGGTCAGTTTAATAACAGATGAACTTCTAAATGGTTTGTGTAAAGGTTAGTTTAAAGGTCTGGTATTTGGTATGCAGTTGAATTACCATTGGCAATTCTCATTTCAAAGGAGGTTATATGGCCCTGCACTTGCACTCATAGCTCATTGACTGAATTTTTGATTTGAATACATATGATGACAGCAGTGTAAATTTTGATTTCAACATTTGATTAATAAAAAAGAAATCGATAATTGTGAGACACTTCTGTGTTAACAGTTTATTATGTCTAACACGTGTTGCAGGATCTCAATATTGACGACTTCAAGTCTAAACCTAAATGTACCTGTGCTAGTTTCCCATCTTTATTTAATCCCGCTGGCCACGTTATTACTGGTGATCTAAGCATTGTAAATAAAACCTCTGTGAAATGTGTTATCCAAACTCCAGACATATCGTAAGCCTAAATCCATCAATAGGAAACACAAATTCAAAATACTGATGGATTCAGTCAACGATTATGTCAGACAATGTTTCAAACGCGAGAAAGAAGACGTAGATACTCTTTCCGAATGTATTAAGGCTGTGAGGTTGTTGAAACAAATCAGAATTGAAAAGTGAATGGGTCTATGAATACCCATGCTACATCAAGACCCAAATGTTGCAAAACACCTGTCCTACCTCCATGACAAATATGTTTTCCCCGCAGATAAAGCACAAACAACATCGTTTTTGTGTGTAATTCACATTACATAAATTGCTTGATAAATGAACTAGGTATTGACACTTCACCTGGGAACTCACCATATACCCCCACGACACTTACCAAGGAGGAAATACTGGATAAATATAGGTCTGTTCCTTTGGAATTTCAACCAAAGATGAAGAACTGGATCTTCCTCCACTGTATTGGATACCTAAACTAGATAAGTGTCTTTACAAACAACGTTAAAATGCTGTGTCTTCCAAGTGCTCCACGAAACCTCTTTCTCAATTATTAACATCAATTTTATCAGCAATCAAAGCCGGGCTTCAAAGTAATTGTGAAACTATATATTCTAGAGGTGGCGTGAATCAGATGTGGATACTAAAAAATCTTTTATAGAGTACATACAATTTAATATAAAAATACGAGGATGTGGTATGATTGCCAATGAGACAACTCTCCAAAGAGACCGAGTGACACAGAAATTAACATCTATAGGTCTCCGTACGGCCTTCAACAATGAACAAAGCCCATACCGCATAGTCAGCTATAAAAGGCCCGAAATGACAAGTGTAAAACAATTCGAGTCAAACGAACAAAACTAACGGCATACTTTCACTGATGTACAAAATAATGAACTGTAAACAAATATGTAACACAGCAACAAACGACAACCACTGAATTACAGGCTCATGACTTCATCTTGCAATAATATTAAAACATTTGACTTTTCTTCATGTTACACAAGTATTCCCCTTTTCAAACTAGAATACAAATTGAAAGAGTTAGTTCTGTTTTGGTTTTTTGTCTTAAGGAGGGATAAATCGTTCTTTGTAAAAAAAAATCACTCTGATTAAAACAAAAAAATTCTGTGAAACTGACATTATCAAGATGCTTGATTTCTCGATTGACAACATATTTGTTACGTTTGGAAGACATGTTTTTATCTATCAGTCCCCGAGGGTATCATCAGCTCAGTAGTCAGTACTTCGGTATTGACATGATTTATAACAATCCTTTCTAAAATTGTCCGTTTATAAATTTTGAAATTATAAAGAAACTAAGGTTTCAACTCCCTCATGCAAGTTGGCCTTATATGGATTTGGCTATTTTTTATGTTCTTTTTTTGTCATATAGCTCTTCAATTGTTTCGGTTTTTATAAATCCTTGGCTTTGAGCGTTCCTGATGAAGGTAAATCCAGAAAAGCATTTCGGACGCATGAAATTATATAACGTGTTGTTTTCAGTTTTTACAGCATTGGGTCGATACCTCTGCTGGTAGACTATCAGTCCCCGAGGGTATCATCAGCTCAGTAGTCAGTACTTCGGTACTGACATGATTTATAACAATCCTTTCTAAAATTGTCCGTTTATAAATTTTGAAATTATAAAGAAACTAAGGTTTCAACTCCCTCAGACAAGTTGGCCTTAGACGGATTTTTCAACAAACAATCGACATTCTCATGGAAACCAACTGTGCTACTCTTCTTGCCGACTTGTTTCTCTGTATATTTTAGGCTGACTCATACAGGAACTTCTTAGGAAGAAAGAAAGGAGGTTAGCAGTATACTTTTAGAATGATGTTCTACCACTAAATAATTAAAAAAATGATGACTGTTGAACACATATGTCCCATCGAACTTGAAATAAAGTATACAACAGCTACAGTTAAGTTTGTCTCATATCTGTACTAACATCTAGACATTGACAAAGAGGGTCGGTTGAAAACAAAATGTTACGACAAAAGAGATGATTTCAGCTTCCCAATTGTGAACTTTCCATTTTTATGTATCAGCATTCCAGCAGCGCCTGCATAAGGAGTATATATCTCCAAGTTGATACGATATTCCAGGTCTTGTATTTTCTATCTCGATTTCATTGATAGATGGTTGCTGCTCACTATGAAGCTATCAAACCAATAGTTCCAATTGATGAGATTGAAATCATCCCTTCGTAAATTTTAGACGCCATCACGAGTTAAATGATCATTATGGAATATCCGTTTCACAGATTACTACGGATATGTTCCAATTGTCGTAAATACAATCCCGCCCTCTTTTCTCAGAAAGTGACCTACCGAATTAGACTTATCACCGGATTTTACGAAACCGTGATCAAACCGACAGGTGCCACATGTAGAGCAGGATCTACTTATCTTTCCGGATCACCTGAGATCATCCCTAGTTTTTGGTGGGGTTCGTGTTGCTCAGTATTTAGTTTTCTATGTTGTGTTTTGTGTTCTGTTGTTTGTCTTTTGGTCTTTTTCTTCTTAGCCATGGCGTTGTCAGTTTATTTTCGACTTGGTGAGTTTGAATGTTTTTTGGTATCTTTCGTCTCTTTTTCTATTAATAGTTTATTTTGACGATTTGTAGAACTTGGACTACATGTATGGTTATTTGGCATCCTGCATAAATAAACACCAACAAACAAATTATTTATTGCTTTGTTGAAATTACATTAAACTAGCTCTCAATAATTGTGGGTACTCTTAGATCAGCACTTTGTGTTTTAGTTGCACTTAGTGCCAATTTGATGAATCAAGCCCTTGCCAACTGATTTTTTAAAGATTTAATGAAAGTTGTAGAATGTGAGACTAAGAGATGCTCATTATAAATCTGACGCAGACAGTTTCTCCTGACGACAACAGTGTAAACTATTTTTTTATAAAGCTTTATATTTCAGAAGGTAAATTCTGGGGTTATAATTCATACCTTGCAAACAGATACCTAATGTTTAAAAGTTTCTTTCTGTCTGTAATTTAGTGGTTTCCGTTGGTTGCGTTCTGCCATAGCTGCTCTTCGTTTTATTGTTTCAAGCATAAATCAGGCTTTTCAGTTGTTTCATATTTAACATGCTATGGCATATATAGCTTATTATAGTATGGTGTTGCTCATTGTTTGAGGTTGTACAATGACCAATTGATGTTTACATCCTTGTTTCTTTGGTTTCTTGTGAATAGTTGTCTCATATGACCTACAAGAATTGGTTCATTGCAATGTTCGACTGCATTGATTCATTGGAATGTGAATCTGCATTCGGCAACTGTGGATTTATGTATATATTAAGGGGTATCAATTCTTCATGGATAAAAGAACTTTTGTATTTTCGCGGTTAGTAAATATCAGTGCGGTGCCAAATTCTGCAAACAAGCCCATATGAAATGTGTACTTCATGGAACACTTGAATTCTTGGTTCATCTTTACCAAAAAATCACAAAAATTGGTACCCCACCAATAATGAATCCACTGATGGATTTGACTGTATAGCTGCATTGATTCATTGGAATGTAAGGCTGCATTGATTCATTGGAATGTAAGGCTGCATTGATTCATTGGAATGTAAAGCTATGTTGATTCACTAAAATGTAGGTTGCACTTCTGTAAATATAGACAATGCAATTTTCCATAGGAAGTCCCTTTACGACTAAAACTGTGCCACTTTTACTAAGAAGATTCGTTAAAAAATATATCCTA